TCCCTAAAGGTCCCTCTTACATAGGATTATATTGGCTTATGTAGGGTTATATAGGATTAGACTGGCTGATGTAAGGCGTTTATAGGATTATAGAATGGGCTACAATCCTACACGATTACCTTGAGCGGTGCTCACCAGCTTTCCACATTCATGAACTCATGGAGCGAATGTCCACAGAGCAACAACACCTTCCTGAGGCTATTACATCTTCTACCAGAATATTGGTAGTATTGATGCCTGCAAGCAGTTGTGCATTAGCACGGCCGGCTGCAAGGGCATTGAATACGCTCCCCGGCAAGAAGTGGAAACCCCCGAAGTTCTGAAACACCGTTCATTGAGCAAGTTCCTGCAGCTTGGGTCAACATCATGCGGAGGCTATGGTAATCTCGGGATTCTTCCTCAAAACAGGGCTTTTGCGGCAAGTTGGAAGCAGCCATGTGTTTTCTTCGAGTGATCAAAGGGAGTCGGGGCGACAGCCCTCTAACTACATAGTTTTGTTGCAGAGAAAGGCACGGAAAAAGGGGGCGTTTGAGAGCTGCCAGGGTACTTATGTAGATTCATAGTTAGGGCCAGGGTAGCTGGGAAAGACTTCTCTAAAGTAGTGTCCAAAGTTCAGCAGGGGCTCCACTTGGCTGCTACGCCCCCTTTCTAGTGAGGGCGTGGCTTCAGAATCTATGTTGGCTTTTGGGGTGTGCAGCTAATGTTCGCTGACAGGAGATATGTCAGAGCAGAACTTCCAGCAACATTCTGAGGCCGACCCTGAGATGTTTTTGTGCCTGCTCCGGGCATGTGCCCTAAATCCTATCCGCACACTGCGCACGCTCAATAGACACAACTCACAAAGACCACAGGCTAGATCACAACCTGTTGGTGGAAGAGCTCTACCGCATAGCAGGAGATCAGCGCATGCTGCGGTCAGTTAATACAATGCGAGAAGCATATAAAAACTTTAGCTCACGGCGGCCACCTGTTTCAACGAATTGGAATCAGGCAGAAGGTGTACGGTTTGGGTTTGGTGAATTCAGGCTCCGCGTTTACTTGCTGTATACGCTGCCCCGAAAAGGCGAGCTGCTTGTTGAGGCCCTCGTTGTACGCCCGCGCCCTCTTCGGCCAGAAAGATGTTCATGGATGTTTACCGTTGCGTTCGTCATTAACTTGTGTTGCAAAAAACTCGACACCCCAAGTTGACGTCACCAACCCTCAGCCCCAAAGCCCTGAACCCTTAATTGAATGCCCATTAAGGGTGGTGGCACAAAATGCGAAGTCTGGATTCGTCCTGCTGGCATTGGCGCGACCAAGTCCCCACGCTGGCTGGGAACATTTTGCCTTTGCATTCTTACACGATTTTACCTTTAAAGGATCCGTAAGCCCAGAACTGTGTGCCTTTACTGTTTGCCTGAGAGCTTAGTTACCAGGCCACTGAACGGGTACACCTGCCTCAGCTACACAGGCAGGTTGGCTTCTGGGGGTTGAGCGCTTCAAGTTTACCATTTAGGGTGTTTCTAGCGTTGGCAAGGCAGGATGATGGCTTCTGGGTTTAGGATGTAGGGCATAAGTTCATAGGCGTTTCATGTAGGCAAGGCAGTTTACAGTGGGGCCCCCTATCTAGGGTCTGACTGCGGGGTATTATTTTCTGAAGAGGCAACGAGTTCGACCCATGCTTTTTGCGGACTTTCCCCCAAGGAACTGGAATTGTTAGTGCTTTTGGCTTACTCAAGTTTACTCCCAATATGTTTCAGCTAGGTAGGATGTTCTCAAGTTAGGCACTTGTATCCTCAAGCCCTGAAACTTTTTAACGCAGAATATGCATTACGCGCCTGAGAGTCTGTAGATGCAAAGGCTGTCCAACATGAGACCAAGCAATGTCCTGGACAGCTCAGCTGCTGGTAACTCATACTATAACTCTATAGTATAGAGAGACATGTACCCAATGGAGAATCAACTGGAAAAGAACATGGAAAAATGGAAACTGGTATATGGGGTTATAGCTCATATAGCCGGAAGTATGAGTATGAGAGGTTGCCCAAAGTGTATTCTGCACAGTACGAACAAGTGCAGTTACCACTTTCAAGGTGGGGTTCTCTGTAGTTTCCGTGGGAAGGTACCGTTTGTGTGTGGTTGATGGATCCAACTGCCAAAGGCATTTTTCAGCTGAGCAGTACCTAGTTCTTGCAGAGGTCAGTTGTCCACAACATATTTGACCCACAGAGGCTCTTAGGATTGTTCTCTGTTACCGCGAGACCTGGAATCGCACAAAGGACAGGGCTGTTGCCCTGAGAGGAAGATACTTGTGAGAGAACGTCCCTCTAAGCCCCTGGTAAGTCGAAGACTTCAGCATCTCCTCATGACTGCTGGCAGGCCCAGTCGCAACTACGACGACCACCACAACAACCACAACCACCACGACCACCACGACCACAACCACAACCACAACCACAACCACTACGACCACAACCACCACCACAACCACAACCGCATCAACGACTACGGGCGGGGCCCTGGCTGTATTTCAGCCCGTGGATGGAGGCCACTGCATGCAAGGTCGCTGTTCCATCATGCCTCAGCCTCGTACAATCACCTTGGCAAGCTTTGTGATCAGCAGTCTCTTCACGACAATCATTTGTAGCCATGCAGATGGTAGAAGTAGCAGCTACTTCGACTTGGCTCCGGCATGTCATCCACAGGACAGGGGCGCGCCTGCCGTGGCGATTCCCCGGGTGACAACTCTGCGAATTACTTCCAGGCAAGAGCGGCCCTAGGACGAGCAAAGCTCAAGAGAATCCTTGTTCAAGAGGCTTTTGAGAGCAATCATCCACACGTGATACTGTTCTGCATGTTGGCTATACATCTGTGTGTTATTGCGAAGCGGCCTTCTGAGATTTCTGGCCATGCCACAGTGTGCTGAAGCCGTCAGGTGAGCAACCACCCGACTCTCGAGGCCATATGGGATAAACTTCATGCTTGGGCCCATGGAAAGTTGTAAGCCTGATGGTAAATACGCGGCTCTCATGTATGTGAATTCTTGAAGTCTTCGGCGGCGGCCGCGGCGGAAGCGGCAGCGGCAGCGGAAGCGGCAGCAGCAGTAGCAGTCGCTATCAGCTATCACTACTGATGTTATCCTTATGCTTCTTTAGTAGTAGTAGTAGTAGTAGCAGTAGCAGTAGCAGTAGCAGTAGTAGTAGCAGTAGTAGTAGTAGTAGTAGTACGCGCGACGCGCATATTTGACGACCCGTCCGTTTGAGGGCGGTCAATAAGGAGGAGATTGAAAGTGCTGGCAGCGCCAGCACTTCTGCACTGCAGTCATCGTTTCGTATGCTAAAGTTGCCAGGCCGGAATTTTCCACTTTTTTCGGCATTCAACATG